TTTTTGTAACGTGTAGTTTCAATGTTATCAAATAAAAGTTATTTGATAACATTGAAACTACACGTTACAAAAATACAGTTTAGGACAGATTACTATATTTGCATCTACTCACTTGTCTTTATTTACAGGCTGTCGAAGCTTCAGAAGATTCTTGGTAGCTTCAACTTTAAGGACGTTCAACACGTTCACAAAAAACAGGTCTTCGTGGACAACTAACTGTAGAAAATTAAAACCTTTTCACCAAAACGGATAAAATGTTACTAATATTACATTTTCTGTTTCACCAACAATTAATTTGTTGTTGTTTTTTAAATAATTAGAAGCCTAACCAAAAGATTACGGTACTGTAAAGTTGTGGTAAACCTCCCACTTATGAAACTTTTATCTTACTTAGTAAAAAAAAAGAAATTTACTACCTACTACCTACCAATACTTACCATGTCGTATTCTTTGGATAGCTCAACAGGATTTGTCAGAAATTCAGGATAGCCTATTCTTTCATTCATGGCGTTAGCCTATTCTCAAAAAAAGTCATATTTGACGTTCGATGAAACATCTAATAATTTAGCATATCATAACAATTGTTTTTAATTTTTTCTAAAATGGGAAATATACGTTCAAACTACATAAAATATGCAAATTCCACTAAAGATCCAAGATAGGCTTACAAGTTTAAAAATATACATAAAGTTACAGGTGGTTAGAAATAAAACTGTATATTGGACTTATGTAAAGGTACGAAAACAAAAGTTTGTATTGGCTTTGCATGTCCTGACGCACAAGTGCCTCTGGAACTGTCGCTTACGAATTAAAGTAATTTGTTCATGTACCAATACACATGGGTGAGTTTTATAGTGCAAATAAACTAAGACAGTGTTAGATTTTGTATAACAAAATCTTGACATTTTAACTAAGACTTCAGTAGACTTTATAGTTATGAAGCCAAGTAAATGATTTTGATTCGATGCTCTCATGAAGTTTTATTCTAAATATAATTATTATTCAAGTTTTAAACAAAACTTTCGAAACTGCAACGACTTTCTCGATTAAACTGTAAAATACGTGTTGCTTCCAAAACTTCGATAGCCTGTAAACAATGACAAGTGAGTAGATGTAAGTAATCTGCCCTGATGTGTTGCTTCCAAAACTTCGATAGCCTGTAAACAATTACAAGTGAGTAGATGTAAGTAATCTGCCCTGATGTGTTGCTTCCAAAACTTCGATAGCTTGTAAACAATTACAAGTAAGTAGATGTAAATAATCTGCCCTAAAGTGTTGCTTCCAAAACTTCGATAGCCTGTAAACAATGACAAGTGAATAGATGTAAATAATCTGCCCTAAAGTGTTGCTTCCAAAACTTCGATAGCCTGTAAACAATGACAAGTGAATAGATGTAAATAATCTGCCCTAAAGTGTTGCTTCCAAAACTTCGATAGCCTGTAAACAATGA